TCTGTGAGCAGTTTAAATCTTACACCCGTGTGCTTTAACATGGCATTCCACGTGAAGCCCAGTAAGATGTAATAATACGCGGGATCGAGCCCATAACTCATGACGCAACTGTCGCGGAAATGTTCGAAGACGTCGGCCAACAACGATACGTCCATTTTCAGATAAGTCGCTATATTCACCGAGTGTCCGGATGGAGAATCGTTGCCACATTGACGGCGTGCGCGTAATCGTTCTCAGATATTGTGTCGTCTGTACTGCATGAACTGTAAAACGACTTGCGATAAACACAGCTCCTCCAACTTTTTGAATACAATCAATGTACTCGTACGGAAAGACGTCTTTTTGAGTCAAAAGATTAAAATTTTCTTCTGATAAATTGGAAAATTCGTGTTGCAGTATCTGTAGCTTATTTTTATTGAGAAAAGATGCCAATTTGTCCAAACCAGAAAAATCTGAATAAATCTATAAACTATAATTTCACACAATTTTTTTTGTCAATTTTGGTACTATCGACATGTTTAATAAATGAGATATATTTATCTTTAGTTATCGGTAAAAGCGTTCTTTGTACGCTGCGACAATTTCCTTGATGATGAAATGCGCGTCGTAGAACGAAAAGTTATGGAAAACTACTGGTATATAATGTGAATCCCTATAATTTAGATTGCAATTTGAGTGCGCGGGGCCTCTGTATTACCCGATTAAGTAAGAGTGATCGTGTACTCGTGTATCGTTCTGCAAACGGTTTCTTGCACACGTGACAATACGTGGCGCTGTTAAAATTTTTCCAATCGTTTCGCGTGAAATCCACCATTGGTTTTCTGCCATTAGCCGAAATTATAGACTGTACAGTATATGCTACCTGTCTAAGGTCTTTCGCAATCCACGCTATACAATCTTTATCGCGGCGAAAACGATAGCCCGATAGTGAGCTGTACGAGGACTGCATATAATATCTGATGCTAAACACATTGTGATGATGATGTGAGATCCGTATTTGTTTTCTCCATTCCAGGTCGGCGTAAATGATTCCTGCAGTGCCGAAACTTAGCCATTTATCGTCCTCGCTGTGGATCTCCAATTTTGCGCTCGAGCTAAAGTAATGGAGGCATCTGAAAAAAACCGCGCATTTATTATTATTATTATTGTTGTTGTTGTTGTTGTTATTGTTATTATTATTATTATTATTATTATTATTATTATTATTATTATTGTTATTATCATTATTATTGTTGTTATTGTTGTTGTTGTTGTTGTTACTATTATTTTACATATCTATCGCAGAAATATTTCTTGTTCTTGTTTCTAGTTATCTGCGATTCTAATTATCTCACAAGGCGGGATAGATCTTTAATCAGCATATTCCAAGTTGTCATCCTCTACGTACAAGAAATTCGAATACTTGCACCTTTTTTAGCAAGTCGTATCGGAACAATCCCTCAATGGTATAGAAGGAAATATAGATTGAAGGAATGTCATTCAAAGTTTCGAATTTCTTAATTTGATTCAACGCCATAAGAAATTTGATGCCCGCGAGATTTAGAACCGACATATAATGCGAATATGAGGATTCCTGTTCCATATTTTTTTGAGTCGGGTATAGAGCAGCAACAACAGACCATGCGAAACATATATTGTCCGCGGTTTGCACATTGATTACCGCTCTCTTTAGCATTTCTTGCGGGAATTTGACATCCCGTGCGCAGAGGATTGTGCTTGTTCGCGTTTACCGTTATATACGCGACATTGCCTATCCGCTATTGCGTTCCTGAAATTCTTCCAGCAATGATAAGGTAGGCTCGACGACGCGCGATACGTACCACTCGCGCAAATTGGTGCATTGATATAGTTCATAGTTCTGGATGGTGATACTTTTGTTCGCGCATTTATCGCCCGTCACGAACACACACATTAAAAACAGTGTTTATTTTTATAAAGTCATAGTATACAGTCATTGTATTACACTATGTACATACTCAACACAATTTTGCTCGCGTCTTCGAGGAATCGATGAGGCTCGATATGTTTTAAGTTTATCACCACGCGCATCAGAATATGTTTCAAACGCCGTTTCGATCATGCGCCAACTGAATCCATATTCAGTGCCCACATGCGATCAGTTATTGTCTATTATTGCGAGCATTTGATATTCTGCTCCTCCAATGATTTGATAAACTCGTCGCATCGCTGTTCTCACGCGATGACTCTTCTCTTGTATTAAGCAGAGAGCTTAGCTTGCTCAATCAAATTGCATTCCATGTTGTCACTTTTGCTATCAAATTGATAATAATGCACCTCAATCTTGTCATTTTTATATCATTATGTGCGCTATTTTTATTAATATCATCGCCTAGATATCTCATGCCCTGAAAAAATGTTAAATTACACTAACAAAGCAGCTAACATAATTTTTAATAAAATTGCAAATGTTGCATTTTTGCAGGTGTTGTATCAAATTACATTGATAATGTCATCGCCAAAGCATGTTAATGTTCTTGAAAAAATGTCTTATATTATACTGCAAAGCAATTGTATATTGCTATTATTTGACAACATTGCATTTTTATCAAATTATATTAATGATTATCATTCTGGAGAAATCTTAAATTACTCTAACAAAACATCTGTACATTAGCTGATATTGCACTATTTGACAACATCGCATCTCAATTATATCATATTAAATCTATTATTTGGCAACGTCGCATTTATATTACGACGAGTTTAAAGGTTTTATGGGAGATCTGGGATTTGTGACTTAGTGAAATGAATGCGTTCTTTAATGAGGCTGGTTTTTATGAAGGATGTTTTTGGATTTATGAGTTCCTAGATAGTCCTTAAGTTGTAGGAACTTTGGAATGATGTTATTATGCCTGCAGCGTTTTAGGAATGTCAAGTTTGATAATTTCTTGGCTAGGAAAGACGTGAGTTTGCTGAAAGTATTTATTTTTAGCAAGAATACTCTCCTCATATAGGTATTGATAATATTCTTGAGACTTCCACGGATGCTTTTTATATAAAGATTATGCGTTTCGCAGGTTTCCTCCATGTTCAAATCCATTCTTAGAATGAAACGTTTCGTGAACCTTGCAGTCTACTTCATCAGAGTCGAGCAGAATGATAGAATGATACTGAACTGTTTCTCCGGACTATTCCTTTTATATTACGCTACTTGTTGGAGTGATGGGGGAAAGAAGAAAATTGTGGATAGGAGGGGATGGGGGGAGGGAAAATGTGAGGGAAATTGATAGGTCTTCAATAATCACTTCAACATCCTTCATTTACATCCTTCATTAACAAAATAATAAAAAACATGACTACAGAGTTAAACAAAAATTAAGTGTACAGGTGCACAAAATGAGGCAAAGTCTGCTGCTCTAACTATCAGAAAATCAGAGTAAAAAATTACAGTGTAAAAAGCGCCAAAGCAAACATAAAACATAAATTTACAATATAGTACGAAAGTTGGATTACAGAATATAAAAACATAATATGTAGCAAGATGTAGCATAAATTTAAGATTACTATTGAAAATTGAATACAAGACTGACTGTGTTTCAAGATTGGAGAGGACTTTATTGCACAGTTTGTAGAATTGTCTAGAGTATAAATTCATACTGAAATATTTAGATCAATTTAATATAAGATCAATTTTGGTCGATTATAGGATTTCATTTACCTAATTGATAAAATTAAAATTTATTCATTTAATTATAAAAATCTTTTTATACGATTTATAGCATATACATATGCATACATATATTATTTCTTGGTAAAGTTTATTTATAAGCATGTCAAATCAGGAACATAAATCTTTTATAAATAAAATTAATATTTCCTGTAATTAAGGTAATTAAATTTTGTAAGAGACATGTAAAACAAAAAATAAAAAGAATAAAAAGAGGGATTAAATTAATAATGTATAATTGTATAAAATATATTTAGAAATGGTATAATGTCACGAATTTACCGTTGTATCAGTATAGAAAGTTTATGATTGATTACAATAATAAGACAAAAACCATATTACAACAATTTAATTAATCTTATTATAACAATAAGTGATTGTTGTTATTAAGCAATAATTTGTATATTGTAGCAATGAACATAGATCATGAAATTTCAAAGAAATAAAGTACTTATTTTTTTATCTAAGAGATCAATTGACCAACAATGTTGGTATTTTATACTTTTAAAAAGATATCATAACATTAAAGATATGCAAGGAATGAATTTTTTGCAATTAGGATAACTTAGATACCGATGGTGCACGTATGCAAACATAGTATTCGTTATAACATTATTTTAAAAAACACTATATTTATAAAGATATGTAAAATTCCACATTGAATACACTGTCTAAATTCATTTTTAAAAGAGAATGAGAATAGATAGACTTTATCTGCTGACGTTGACCCCTTAGATAAAAAAAGATTCGATATTATCAAAGTGCATTTTTACACAGAAAAAAGTTAATTCCTGATTCACGTATATTTTTTTCTTGAATGCCATTTGCTTTCTTTAAATATGGAAAGTTCTCTTTAATTACAAATGTTCACTTGCATCAATAATAAATAAATTTGTGTAATGTATATTTTATTCTTAAAGTTGTATTCTTGTTTCTAAAATCATGATTATTCTAACAAATTCAATCGCATTATTTGAAAGCTATTCATTCTTGGATTAAGATATATAGTAGTGCGTAACATATGCTATAGAGTTTCAATACTGGCAGTGAATATTGAAACGCAGGCAAAACCTTTGTGAACCTAGACTAACATTTTTTATTTTAGAAATAATTTTCCTTTTTAAAATTTTTTGAGTTCGCACCAAATAAAGGTTAAATAAACAAATTTACAAAATATAAACTTTTAACTACAGTTTTGGAAGAATAAGTATTAATTTATTTGTAAATATGTTAAACAGTTATTAGTTTTTAAAAGTAATATTTTATTTTTTGTAAAATTTGTTGTGAAATTTAATTTCAGATCAAGGAAAGATGTTGATTTTTGCAACTTGATGAAAATGATGCCAAAGAAAGGACTAAAGGATTTTTTCCTAGGAATGAAATTAAAATTTTGGAAAAAACATATTGAATGGAAAGGTAATATCAAATTTCAAGTAAGATATGTTTCATATAAGATCTATTTTCAAAATGTGTATATATATATATATATGTGTATATATATAGATTACATACACACATTACAGTGTACATTACATATAACTTTAATTAAATCATTTTTGATAACATTGGTCAAAACGTAGTTTCTAACTTTAAAATAAATTATAATTTAAAATCTATGTTTTGAATTTATTAATAATCTCTTTTAATGTTTCTAATCACAACTATGTAAATCTTGTATTGAAAAGTTTTATATATTAAAATACGTATTTTCTCTTTCTTTTAACATACGTCTATTACAGAAGACATATTTTTATCTACAAATAACGAAATAGAAGAACAAGACGAATCAATTAAAGTGAAGTCTAAATTTTCGATTTTATTTGAAGAAGAGGACGTTTCTGAGGATTCAGATTACATTAATGTAAGTATTATATTATTAAACTAATCTAACTTAATTTAAGAAATTAATTTTTATTGTAAAATAAAATAAATTCATTCTGGATGAAAGCATAGTATTTACATGTTTGAATCGAAATAAAATTGCTGTGATATAATGAAAAGATATAAATATACCACTAGAATGGGTACACACATCACTAAATTTGTTTATTTTTAAAAATAATTTTCATTTAAAAAAAGAATTTAGTCTAATTTATAATTCTATTACATATTAATTTTTTATTTTAGAATTCAAAATCAGATTCGGAAAACAACAAATTTCTTAAAAAATTAGGATTAAAAAAAAAGCAAAATTTAGCTGAAACAGAAAATCCAACTTCTGTTAAGAAGAAGAAAATAGTTAATTCAAATATACTTGCTGAAAAAAGAATCACTGCTTTGAGTGCTTCACGTGAATGAATAGATTTGATAAATAAATAAAATTGAACTTTTACGTTCAATTTTATTATTTATTTAAGCTTGAGATTTTTATACGTATCCGTATTATGAAAAAAAGATATAAAATCAAAATATTAGTTATTATTTTGCTTTCATTAGATTTTTATAACGTTGACTGAAACTAATTATTATTTTTATTTTTGATATATTTTAATTTTCTTATCAATATCCAAGATCAAATTTATAATTTTTTATTATTAATCAAGCTTTCACATCAAAACTGTAGACTCTTTTTTGCATTGCTATTGTTATGGGAACATTCGACTTCTCACAAAGAGTTCTTATGCATCTTAATGAATTCGAAAGGCAATTCGATCTTCTTCTTCCAAAAAAACTTTGTTATTGCTAGATTTTATTTTCAGAATTTAAAGAAGCTACTTGATCAATCTTTAGAGGGTAAGGCTATCCTTCAAACTTATGAAATGAATAAGTATTTGGAAGAAGAAGATCGAATTGCCTTTGTAGGCATTGTTATATGTTATTTAATGGTTACTATCAATCAGTAAGCTATTTCATTAATAAATATTTTAATATGAACTGGAAAGAATACGGGCAGTAGGAGTGAAGCGCAGAAGACGTTGCGCAAATAATATATCTATGAAGTGTGAAACTTCTTTATTCACTAAAACGCGCTTTCATTACTGAGAAGTTAAGCAGATTGAATAGTGAGCGTATGAGGATACCGTTTTATTAGTACTAATAAATTGCGAGAATTCATTAAGGTGCATAAGAACTCTTTGTGAGAAGTCGAATGTTGCTTATAAGATCTCGTGTAAGAGTTGCGATGCAAGTTATGTGGAACAGATATGTAAACACTGAGATCACGGAGCATAAAAATCACATCCGATGGAACACCTCTATTCGTAATGTCATAACGGAGTATCGATTCCAAGAGAGCTATGATTTCGATTGAGACAACGTTAGATTACTAGATGAGGAGTCTCATAAGAAGAAATTGAGATGATACCATATTCATCAGGAGACAGAGGCACGGACTCAACTTGCAGACGGATATAGAGAGGCTTCCTAAGGCCTATCTCTCGATCGTAGACAAGCTATAAAGGTTAGAGTTGTTGTCACGTCTAGTCAGTGTCGTTCGTATGCAGTAATGAGTCTTTCATGGCGTGATTTTTTTTATTACTTTCATTTTCATGGAATTGATTAGTGTTTTAATGTTAAGTTAAGTTTTTAAATGTTAAGTTTTTTCATTTGTAATCTTGAATAATACTAGCTAAAACTAAAAGTGATTTGCTCTGTCTGATATTGGCCAAAATATCAAGAATTGATTTTTGAATAATTCATAGTAATGTTTGCGATATAGTTTGTGATTTGTGATCAGGATGAGCGTCCTTATCTTCGAAATTAATTATAATCTTAAAGTTTTTTGATAAATTAGTTTTTCATATTAGTTTTTCTTTATTTCGATTTCCATCATTTCCTTATTTTCGTTCATTTTTCTTTTTTCTTTTTTTTTCACTCTTTTTGAGTTTAATTCTGGCATTTAAATTCTCGAGGTAGGGGAACTCACCATGACAGGATAATTTTTATTTACAATTTATTTATGTTAATTTGTGTTATCTCTGAGAATGGCTCAAAAGTGAGTCGAAACATGTAAGCGCGTTTTAGTGAAAAAGTTTCACACTTCATAGATATATTATTTGCGCGATCTCTTCTGCTCTTGACTCCTATCCCGTATCCCTCTTGATCCATATCCTTTCTTTGATTTATAAGAAATTTTGATTAGTTTGATTTGTTATATAGATATTTTAATATGTTTCTCTCTTGGTTACTTGAATACGTGTGAATAATAGTAATTAAATTAAAGTTTGTGTGCTTTTCCTAACTAAAAAGTTAACAAAATTTTATTTTCTGTCTTATTTTTATTTTTTGTTTACAGGCCAAAAAAATCTAAGTTAATTATATTGAAAGACAAGATTTTAATTTTATTTACAAATGAAGAGGTATTGCACTAAGTTTCATCTGCATGTTATGCGGAATCTACAATAGAAGTCGTAAACGGTCATAGGATCTTAAATTATAGGAAATTAATCATTCGTAGTCGGTTATTCTTCTCGATTATTATATATATTCGATTGTGATTGATCAATTTTCTACTTTACGTCTGCAATATATTGTAAATCCCGCAATCTGACATATAAATCTTTAATTCATTTGATTAATAATTTATTAATATTACAGAATGACTATTCCGTTGCCCCAAAAGAAGAGGGAAGTAATCAATCTCTTGCTAGAGGAAAACTTTTTGATAGAGCAAGAAATCTGAAAGAATGAATGAGAAAGAAAAATCTTCTTCCAAGAGTTAAAACATCTAAAGAATTACAGAATGCTTATTTATAATAAATCTGTCACAAAAATAGGTATTCTACTTTATTTTTCATTTTGCATATTTAATGTTTTATTTACTTTCCTATAATCAATTTTTGCTTATGGTTTATACCTTGCAATTTATGGTTTAGACCTTTCATGAAATTTTTAATAATCAATGTGATTTTAAGTTAGTCTGATTATTGAGGCTATGAACAATTGTAAATTGCAAATAATTAAAACAACAATTTAATTTCTATTAAATTTATTAGTTAAAATTTTCTGATTTAGTTAATTATAATTATATACATAGATAATTGAGTAAAAGTTGAAGCTTTTTACCAGATAAAAAATGTATACGTGCTTTCTAAGAGTTTTCAGTTCGTTTTTAAACTTGTCTTAAAAAGTGTAATTCTCTGTAAAAAAAGTAAGTTATTTTATGATTTGTGTAAAAAATAAATTATATAAAATGCTATTTTATTTATCTATTAGTTTCCTAATACATTTACTGTTTCTTATGTAGCTATTTTAATAAAACCTATAATAAATAAATAATAAATAATACAGAAATAGTTTTAAATTGGCTGAGAAGTTTTCATGAACCATGGAGGAAAAATGGGCTGACATCTAAATATAGACGAGATGATAGCTTCAACATCTCAGGCTAAAGAGTATAGAAAATATTAAAGCTACAGCTTATTTGGATGAGCACAAAGTTCTTCTCAGTCATGATTATACATTAAGTAAGAGTTTCTGTTAATAAATTTAATTGCTTTGTAAACTATGTTTTACATATATCATAAATATCTGTATAATAAAAGGTTACACGTTGAGCGTTCTTCTTCTTCTTCTTTTATTATCTAGATTAAAATAGATTTTGCATCTTGTCAATCTGGATTAGAGGGTGCATTGATAAAAATTGGCAATCATTTATTCAGAAAATTGATTCTATTTTAAAAAATAATTCTCAATCTGTGAAAGATCCTGAAAGGAAAATGTTGCGACACCTTTATTTAGAGAGTACCAACTTTATACCATATGTTTGTACACACACACACACACACACACACACACACACACACACACGCACGCACGCACGCACGCACGCACGCACGCAAGCACGCACGCACGCACGCACGCACGCACGCGCGCGCGCATATGCAGTACATAGGCCTTGAATAAAAATTAGAGGAAAATTTTATGGATATAATTAACATACTTAGAATATTAAAAGAACATATTATTTTATTTTTATTGTCATTAATTAATTGACTTTAAGCTAATTGTCAAATTAATTTTTATTATTGTATTATCAGTGTAGATTAACTTTAATCTCGGTTTAACTTACTATTTATCTTACTATTTATTTTTGTCTAATCCTAAAAATTAGAAAAAGATAAGTAAATGGATCTGAATAAAATTAATTTCACATTGGTGAAACAGAGTTTTAATATATATTATCAATATATTTTATTCATAGAGTCAAAATATATTCTGCTTATACAATGCTTACCTTGCTATCTCCAAGTAGGCAGATGCAGCTTAGCAGCAAAAAGAAATTTAAACCCACAATTAAAGAAAGCAGAGATGCTTTTATTGCTAATGTTAAGGTAAGCTTTGATAATATTTAACATTTTTAATCATTTGTATTTTAAATCAATTAAATAACTTTCTTCTTTAATAGATTCCTGGCCCAAGTTCTAAATTTCATAGCAGAAAGACGTGAAAAAATATGCAATCAATTTGAATGATCTACTTCCGTACAACCATACATTTTATATGTTGGCAAAGAATCAGATAGATGTTGTGATTGACAACTTCTATTAATTATTAAAAAGCTTCCAGCAAGCATTGAATGTGTTCGAGCTTTTTTTGTTTTAGACATAGTTTTTGCCCAACGTGATCATATATGATTTATAGGTCAATATGATGTTTTTAAATAGTCATTTGTAATGTAAGTATAAAATTGCGTAGTATATATATTATGTTTTGACAAATTTATAAAAGAATTTATTTTTCATAGTACTTCAGTTCGTTAAATATTTTTACCATGTTTGTGTTTTGTTTGTAATGCATCTTTTCAAACATATGATGTTCATATTAGCTTTTTCATTCAGCTAGATTGTTGTTTAATGATCTCATGTGTGCTCAGTCAAATTGTATTAGAAAGTTCGATTTCTTGAAACGACACTTGGACTCTCACCCTTCAACTGTTGTCAAATATCACAGGCTTGAAAATATAAATGATATTCCACAAAAAGATAATTCCACATAAAGATATATTTGAATTGAACAATATTAATATATTATGTGTATCGATGTCCAAGTAACTAACATTAAACAGTATTCTTTAAATTTGACACACTCTAATTTTATTACTTCAATCATAAACAATGCACTTACGTTTTTGACTGAATTATATAGCATTGATAATCCTGTCAAAATGTCCAACTTATTGTGGAAAATCAGATTGAAACATTAGTAGTGGCTATTTGGATATACTTGAAAATAAAGTAATTGATATAGTTCAAACTCCAGCCCAAAAGGATACTCTTTAAGAAGTGCGGCACTTCATAGTTTAAAAAATGTATTCTGGGCTCGACACAGAAAATCACAAATTTAAAAGTTTTATAGAATATGGTGCTTACATTAAACCTGAAGCTTTTATTGTAAGTCATTATTTAAATTCAAAACATTCACATGGATTTGTGTCCATGGAGTCAACTGATCTTTATGGTAATTTATTCTCATGCGTTCAATATTACGTGCATTTTTGGAATTACTAGGTGTCTTTAATAAAATTTTATCGTATACGAATAAATAGAAAGATCGAAGGGCTCTATCATTAAAAATTTAATTCAAACAAAACTATGGAAAGAAAAAATCAAGAATTTCTTGATAATTTCTACTTCCTATTGGATGCTACTATGATGAGTTCGAACTTGAAGATACTTGCTCTCCACATAACAATATTAATAAGATAGCTGGTTTGTATTATTTTTTACCTTATCTATCACCTGAAGACAGATCTGCTTTAGAAAATATTTTCACAGCTCAAATTATGCACATATATTATATTGGGAATACAGATTAGTTCGGTCCATTTCCCTAAAGATGACTCTAGCTGTTGTGAATGATTCTTAGTGAAAGCTGATTTTGGCGATTTCAGAGAGGTTAAACATCTGCTAATAATATTCAGTTTATATCGCTTTGAGTTTCATACAAAAACCTTGATTTTTACTGTGTTTGAAATGTTGAATTTTAACCAAGTAGCATTTGCGGGAGGTTTTGATTTTCTGTTTTAATTGGAAGAAAAGTGCGACTGAAGCCGCATCGAATGCTTGTCGAAGTTTATGGTGACACTGCTCCAACTGATAAATCATGTAGGAAATGGTTTCGACGTTTCAAGGATGGAGATTTCATGTTGAAGACAAGCTTCGCTCTGGACAGCCAAAAAAATTCGAAGGCAAAGAATTAGAGGCATTACTCGAAGAAGATCAGAGTCAAACGTAAGAGGAGCTTGCAGAATCATTGGGGGTAACTCAACAAACAGTTTCTGTATGATGGAGAGCCATGGGAATGATTCAAAAACAAGGAAATTGGGTACCTTATGAACTGAAACCGAGAGACATTGAAAGGCGATTTTTCACTTGCGAACAGCTGATTCAAAGACAACAGAGAAAAGGTTTTTTGCATCGGATTGTGACTGGAGATGAGAAGTGGATATTCTACGACAACCCCAAAAAGAAAAAATACCGTGCTAAGTCCGGTCAATCGTTGCCATCGATCTCAACATCAACATCACAGCCGAACATTCATAGTTCGAAGATCATGCTCTGTATCTGGTGGGACCAAAAGGATCTTGTTTACTATGAACTGCTGAAACTTGGTGATTCCATTACGGGCGATCGGTTACAATTGATTCATTTGAATCGTGCATTGCGAGAAAAACGGCCGGAATACGAGCAAAGATATGATAAAGTTATTCTTCTTCATGACAACGCTCGGTCTCATGTCGCTAAAGTCATAAAAAAATATTTGGAAACGCTCAAATGGGATGTTTTACCGCACCCGCCGTATTCTCCGGACATTGCTCCTTCTGGCTGGATTACTGGTTGTTCCGAAGGATACGCACGATTTGGCAAGTCATGGCAGTTCACTTCTTTCGCAGAAATCGAAAATTGGCTCCAAAATTGGTTCACCTCCAAAGAGTCATTTTTTCGAGATGGAATTCGAAAATTGCCTGAGAGATGGGAAAAAATAGTAGGCAGCGATGGACAATACTTTAATTGATTTGTTCATTCATTTTGTTTTGAAATAAATGCATTTTTGAACACAAAAAAACGAACAGAACTAATTTGTACTCCCAATAAATATTTTGAAAATAGTGAATTATTTCGTTGCACTCTGCATGAATTGCAATATCTTGAAACTGAAGGAATTACTGTGATAATATTGTAGTACATAATTGTAACTTTTCGTCATTGTCGGGTAATCTTTGGCCTAGGCATGTAACCCTTTTTTATTAGCAGCTTCTTGAGTTGCATTTATCGTCATCTGGAAAACACTGAGAAAACTAGAAATACGGCAGAAAAATTAAAACAATCGTTCTATGTTTATAATTGCCTCACGAGTGCAAATTCGGACCGCGAAGAAATTTATACAAGAAGCTACATCGATTATGAAGGCGGAAGGCCTTTTGAACTTGGATGAGAAAGCTCGGGTGATTCAAGACAGTGAGACCAGTCTCGTTAGGCATTCTATGGAACAAAAAAAAGATACAATATCCAGCAGTGTT